AAAATCAAGGGAAGCCTATGGAATAAAGTACATTTTTATCATACATTTATACAGTTATTTGGATAAATTAATTAATTTATTATATAACTTAGTTTTCCTATACATACATGATAATAATAATAATAATAATAATAATAATAATAATAATAATAATAATAAAAATAATAATAAAAATAATAATAATAATAATGCCGTGATAAGGCACACATCCTGGCTGGTGGAATGCAGAAGGCCGTCATACTAGGATCATTGCGTCTACTCAGGGCACACGGTACTTGGTCCCAGTGATTACTCACCTCACAGGTTGTGAGGAGTAGTTACTGGATTTTATCCAGCACGACTCTGCGTGACGTCGGAGGCCGCAGGGTCGTGACTGGAATTATATGAATTTAAAATAATAAAAATAATAATAATAATAGTAATAATAATAATGATAATGATAATGATAATAATACCCAAAAAAATATGAAGACCATAGATTGACGTCTATACGACGTCAAACAGTGACTGTCCATAAGACGTCACATTAATGACGTCCGCATGACGTCATTATTTGGTCAAAAGACGTATGAGACCAAAAAAGACCTTAGATAGCGGTCCTATAGACGTCACATTCGTCAGTCTGGCTACCTGGGTATATACGTCCTTCAGCAGACATCTCTGGGACATACTGGAACAGACGTCTGAAAGATGTCCATTCTATGCCTGTGGAACTTCTTTGGCAAAGGTTAGAACCAAATAATTCCACCAAAATAATCAACAATAATCATTCATTCTGAATCGAAATCGAATATACTGCCCCTTTCACAAAAAATTCGATTCTACAGATCGAATATTTCTGGACTTCAATAAGACATCTTTAGGACATCCATTTCTGGACGTCTCTGAGATGTCCTACAGCAGACGTATTAAAAACATCAATTACAAGACATATCTGGGACGTACTGAAACAGACGTCTAAAAGATGTCCATTCTATGCCTGTGAAACTTAATTGGCGAAGATTAGAACCACATAATTCCACACAAAAAATCAGCAATAATAATTCGTTCTGAATCAAAATTGAATATTCTGCTTCTTTCACAAAAACTTCGATTCTACTGATAAAATATTTCTGGACTTCAATAACACATCTTTAGGACATCCATTTCTTGACGTCTGTGAGACGTCCTAAGATAGACGTCTTCAAGACGTCTATTTTATGCCTGTGGACGTTCAGGCATTATATGGACATAAAATGGACGTCTTTCAGACGTCCGGTGCCGTGTGGGCTATACATGTCTCCGGACTGAAAATGAAAATGCGTATAGAGATCGGCTACAGCGCCAAAGGGACATGCATAGTAGATTCAAGCGACAACGCTAGTATCCAGTGTGTGAACATCAACCCATCCAGCATCAGTCCACTGATAATCTCCAAACAGGCAACACGCGTGATGTCAATCAAAATTTTCATCATCCTACTGCTGTTGCATGTAGCAGAATTAGCACCCCAGAAATTATTCTCAGAATATACTCCAAAGAACAGTACCCTATACATCCAACATGAGATACCCAATAGGGCGACTTTACAAGTCACTTACAGCAATCTGTTAACAAAGTATCCTGATATCAAGGTATATTCGATTCAGTCTATGGAGAATAGTGGATTAATGCTCCAATCCAACAACAACAACTACAACAAGAGCAACAACGAGCCTACAAAATATCCAGGTTTCAATTCATCAGATCACTCTATGTACACTGGTGGAGGGTTGATGCAGGAATATAACATCGGTGGCAGTGGGGCAGTGGTAGCATCGCCTACAGTAAATTGTGAATCGTATAAAAATCAGATCGAAAACTATCAAGAAGAGTTGAACAATACGATTGACGAGTTATTCGAAACCAAACAAAAGTTCAGTAACTGTAGCCAAGAACTGCAAATCAAGGTGAATGAAACAGCTACAGAGTTGAACCAAATTAGATCGGATATAGCCGCATGTATGACACTCAGTTCTGGATTCAAGATAGAAGCTGATGATTTGTGGGCCTCAAGATATGCAGATTTAAAATTCGGAAAGTCATCTACGCCCGCACCTAGCAGTTCAATAACAAACAATCAGAAGGATTCTTCTGCATACCTTACTTTGGAATGGAATTATTCTAGCTGCTTGCAGGAGCTGAGACGTTGTAAAAGTCATTATTGATATTGAAGCTCTTTCCATATATGTTATTTATGATAAATAAAAATCTCTTTACGCTTTGAATATTTTTATTCTTTATTCATTTGGGAATCAATACATGCAAACATAATATTGATATGTCATGTTTCCTTTCTTCGGGACATCAATCATCATCTTCATTCCTCATTGATTAACCATATTGTTATACGTTCACATGTTTCACAACGTATCATTTTAGTTTTTCTAACTCCCCAACCCAGCGTATTACTGATAAGGGTGCATTTGGAGGTTCTCCAACAACCCGTACAAGTATATGAAACATACATCCTGAAAATTGTGCTGTCAAGTGGAATAGTCTTCTTCAAGAATGATTCACATCGACACCAACAGCTCCTTTTATACTTATCAACATATCACGTAACTTATTCACTTGGATTTTCTCGATAACATCTAGATGAACCCAAAGTTCCATATTGTGTTTCATAAGAATCACATGATTCATTTCATCCTCTGACCAATAATTCAATGTTAAATCATCGAATGTATATTCGTAATCGCAAAACACTTTCAGGGCACTATCTTGCTTTTCCATAAAATCCAAAAACTCTTCGAATTCACAATGAGACAACATAATTTGTCTTTTAGTATTTACATCTTCTATTGTAACTATATCACTTGCCAAGACAGTTATTTTCAAATCATTTTCCACATTATATCTAAGAAAAATGGGTATTGGCCTGATCTGCCTATGACAGGCAGCGACATGCCCCTGACAGAATCTTTCTTCATCATCAAAAACTTGCGACCACATCCTCGTAATTTCATGTATGTAATGATTGAATGCTTTTTGAGATATAACTTCATTTGATGGAAAAAATTATAGATCAAAGTACAATTACCAGGTTGAAGAACAATGTATCTCTCAAACATTCATTATAGGAACATGAAATCTATTATGAATTACATATTATGCAGCACCAAATACATGATACTGTTGACCTCTGGGTCAGCTTGCGATATCCAATTGATATTTCAAACATGTATATAGGGTGATTGAGGTCTGTGGAACTAGAATTTGGAACATATAATTGTGAATCAGTAAAGTAGGTGAAACAGGTGAAATGTACCTATAGGTGACAGGTGACAAAGTGGATCTTCGGTGACAACAGCTTCTGGTCATTGTCGATGACACTTGTGCACCTGGAAAAGTCTGCACAAACCACAAATAGGCAAGGTGAATCGCAAATTCATTCGGTGACACAGGTGAGACAGGTGAAAATACATGTGACAAGGTGAATCTCCGGTGGCAACACCTTCTGGTCATTGTCGACGACACTTGTGCACCTGGAAAAGTCTGCACAAACCACAACTAGACCCCCCCTATTGTCTGCAAGAGCTCGAGAACTGGATGGACTGGGCCCAGGTACGCGGTAGCTTATCTACTGAAACCGGCCAAGGCATCACATCTTTCTTTCTGCCATTTGGAGTCCAAATAATCCATCATTTTTTGTTCCCCCAAAATCATTGTCAATTTTTATTACCAATTTGATTCAAAATACTTGGAACGTTGCATAGCAACAAACTTTTTCTGCCTAGGCAGTAGAAGTACACCTTTTCTGCCTGTTAAGTGTCATTGAAAATCCACTCTTAATGTCATTTGGAGAAAATATTTATTTGTTTTACTAGGCAGAAAAGTAGTAGATTGACTGCCGCGGCTGACAGTTTATAGCCCAGCGTAGAGAGGCTAGGAATTCAGCCAAGACAGTCAATCTACATTTACTGCCATGTGAAACATATGATTTTTTCTCCGAATGTTATGAAACCCATTTTGTCCAGATTTTTTGTTGAAAACTCCATAATTTTTTGTTCACCCAATGTCAAGTGTCGATTTTGATTACCAATTTTATCAGAATTTTTGAAACGTTGCATAGCAACAAACTTTTTCTGCCTAGGCAGTAAAAGTACACCTTTAATGCCTGTTAAGTGTCAGAGAAAAGCCACTTTCCCTGCCGCTTGGAGAAAAAATATATTCTCAAAACAACTTGGTACGAACTATACGCTAGCGCTCCCTATATAAGAGTCAAATATACAATCATACGATGTGTCAGCTTTCCAAAACACATTCATGCAACATTTCATCACAATGGGCTTATATCACAAAAAAAATGTATTTCATAATTCGATAGAACTCACCCAAACTAGCTCACCACCGCAAACCGTATCTTGCTGTGAGCTCCCTACGTTTTATAAAAAATTATTGAAATCCCCGATTTTTCGGACCTCTCAAAACGAGGCGATGATGTTACGTCAAAACCCTAATACTGAAACAAGACTCCAGACAGAGATGAATGATACATGATTTCTGACAGAGTGAATTAGCGCGAGATCACAGTTGAAAGAATCAATATATCAGTTGCCTCAGTCTCCGTCGGGCGTTTGGTATTTTCTTTTAACTTTGGCGAGATGAGGTTTCTACGTCATAAGAGGGTCCGTTTTCAGAAGGTATTATTATTTAATTATGTCCAAAAAATAGAACATTCCAGTTAATTTTTCGATCGAATTATGTCGTCAATCATTATTTATGTATAAAAGGATAATTATAAACGTTGTTTGAGTTAAAAGTTCTACTAAGGTGTACACGCCCATTGCAACAGTAGTTTCGACATAATCATGAAAATGTGTTTACAAATTATTTTTTCAACGGCTTACATCTTGAATGAGAATGCTATTTGGAAAAATTTTTACTGAGCGAATTCATCAACTCATTTTACAATATTTCACCGATCTTAGCAACAAATTCACCTTCTATTTTCTATTTGGTTTCTCCCTATATTCCAGGGTTTTTTTGGTTTATTCAATCCCTGGTAGCCACAAGTCATCTGCGCCTGGCAGCCATCTTCAGAAAGTGACAGACATTCTGTCGAAACACTTCGTCCGACCGAGAGGACCCTGGAGCATCATCGTACAAACCTCCTCTCTCGGATGGATGGGCGAACAAATAGCTACTGAGTGGTTGAGGAGGGCCTTTCTGGGATGCATGGCCAGCCATACCAAAAGCCGGATGCCAGCGAGCGCTACTGTCGGCTTCAGTGTGGTGTATCCAACAGTTGATAATGTTCTATCTGGTGAGCATTGAATTTTTGTCCATTCTGGTTCCCTACTATATAGACCAGTGCTGAAGCCTTATTTGAAAATGGTAAAATGTGAAGAAAAATCATAGTAGGATTAAACTCATTTGAAAAGGAAAAGAATTCAACAAAAAAAATATCTCCAATTATTGGTGCATTGAGAAGATGTCCCAAACTTGATATTAAAATTGTTGATATATTTTGAATGATGCTATGTTTACCTATAGGTATATAATTATGTACTTCCTTATACCAGAGCCTATTCTGTCTGGAAGTTATTTGTTCAATAAATAAATAAATAATAATGATAAAAAAAAAACGGTTTATCTTGATTTCCAGCAAAACTACGAGCCCTATGGAGAAAACAGCGTACATACATTTGTATGTACGCTGGAGAAAAGTTAGATAGTAAAGTTGTAGGTAATGAAGGGACCTACAACTTTTATAATCACACTTATATCATATAACCTCAAAATTTATGTGAAAATTTCAAATAATCATGTTTTTGGTTTTTTATTTGTATCTTCTGCAAAAAAAATTGTTTTCACTAAATTTGGTGGAAACTTACCTTCTTATGTCCTCATGTAATTTTTTTGATATGAAATATTTATTTTTTCACCTTTTTGACTTAATATCGAAAAAACACCCTGAATTTCAATCGAAAATTCTCACGTCAAAATATCAGCTATTTAAAAGAACTCGGGGCGTTTTTTGTTCGTTGAAATCTCTCATTTCTGATAATGGAAGAAAATATATACATTACTATGGTAAATGTTCTCAGAGAATGCAAAGAAAAAAAAACTCGAATCCGAATTCGTTAATCACTATTTACAATTTTGTGAAATTTGTAGAATTTTCACTTCAATTACTGGAAAAACGTAAGATTCTATGTTACATCGGAAAACAAAAATATTACAAATCGATGAATCATAAAGATTGCAAGTAACATGCGAAAATAGTTGTTCTTAATTTTGAAGATAGGATTTGAAGGGGGGATTTCAATTAAAGAATGTGATTGCTCCAAATTTTTTAGTCAGAAAGTTGATTTATTAAATACTAATTACATTTATGTCATATAAAATCTCATAATATATGAATAGAAATGTGAATCGTAATATTGAATTTAGATACTTTATACTGATTATTATTATTATTCATAATAATATTTTGAAATGCATTTATCTTCTTATTTATAAATTTTATCTTGAACCCTAATCACTTATTCATTACTTTTTGTCTCTACGGTTGCATTTCTTCATCGTTAAATTCGACAAACCTTCCCGATTCTAATAGATCTTTGAAATCTTCAAGACCATCACCGTCTTCGTACCTAATATTATTTTCAGTCTGAATTGGTCCTTCATCAACAATTTCATCAGAATCACCAACTTCCTTCAAGTCCTATCTTTGATATTTAGAACAACTATTCTCACATGTTCCTTGCAATCTTTATGGAATTGAAGTGTAAATTTCACTAAATATCTCAAAATTGTACATAGTGATTTAAAAAGAATTCTGATTCGAGTTTTTTCTTTTCTTTGCATTTCTGAGAACATTCACTATAGTAATGTATATATTTTTTAACATTATCAGAAAAAAGAGATTTCAACGAACAAAAAACGCCCGAGTTTTTTCAAAAAGCTGATATTTTGACGTGAAAATTTTCGATTGGAAATTAGGTAGTTTTTTGGATATTGAGTCAAAATAAGGTGAAAATATGAATATTTTATATCATAAATATATATGTACAGTGTCTTTAGGACATAAAAAGGTAAGTTTTCACCAAAAATTTCGTGAAAAAAATCATGTTCTGCATAAGATGAAAATAAAAAACCAAAAACAAGATTATTTGAATTTTTCTCATGAACTTTGAGGTGAAAGAAGTGTGATAAAAGTTGTAGGTCTTTTTATTACCTACAACTTTGTCATTCAACATTTCTCTTGTGCTTTTGCCGGAAATCGAGAGACACCGTTTTTTACCCTCAAAACTCACCCCCCCCCCCACTTCCCGACCTCAGATCGCCTGTAAATTGTTTTCCTTCCATTTTTGTTATATTCTCGTCCTTTCTCAACGGGTTTCATCCTACTATTTTTTTTGTTTCGAAAATTATCGACCCTGGTCTATACAACTAGATTCATTGGACCAGAACCTGCCATTGGCATCTCATCAATAAGTATTGCCAAACATATACTGAACACCTGGGCAGCATATGAAAGTATTGAATCCTTTTTTACAGGTTATTTTGGAAAGGCGGGTGGAGGATGTCTGGGATATGAAAAAGATTTACACGAAAATCAGAAATGGTTCCAAAAATACATGTAGTAAGTATTATTTACCATTCACTGAACGAAGCGAAAGTGTTACTGTGAAACGATGATATTGAAAATGAAAAAATAGGGTCATGTCAAAATTTCTTTCAACTGACGATCTCAATTCTCCGTATTCTTTCGCCTATCACATAATTGATTCAGATCATACTTTCAATGTTACCAACAATTCAGAAATCCTCCACGTTTGCGATAAAGGTATTAGACTTAATATCCTTGAGATTCTCGAAATTCAGAAATGTATCAATAACCCAAATTTTTCGTGCCCCATAATGATCAGACCAACTGTGAACGTACTCATATTTTCCGTACTTTACGTTTCTCATAATACATTTTCTTTAAGTTTGTCCAGTTTAGTCCGACTCTGTTGAAAGTTTTCAGATTGCAATTTCTTCTCATTATATCCTTCTTTCTTCTATTCGATTCCTGTCTTTTTCACCATGGTGTCTTGTTTTGTCTACTCTTCTTATTTATTTATTTCCTCTTCTGCTCTCTCCCTTTTTTCATCTTATTCTTCTTCTCCTTCTCCCTCTTGATTACTAGGCTCTGTATACTAGTTCCCTTTGACATTGACATCCAATTTCATATTCCTGTCATTTGTTTACCTTGTCCCATGTCTACATTATGTCAATACTGTCAATCCTTCAGATTGTTTTTCCATATATACCTTCATTTGACAAAGTTTCTCTGCATTCTGCTATTTTTCAACATGTGATCGATAAAGAACATTTATATTTTTTTTAAATGGGTCAGATTTTCCTAGCTCTTCAGGCGCTTTGAAAAATGTTACTGAATCCAACACATCATGAAACTTATCAGGTTAGTCTGTTAGTTTGTTTCATCACCATCATATACATGTTTTCCTTAACATTCATAATTTATTTTAGATCTTATTTAGTCTGATGATGGCCGTTGTGCCGAAACCGGTCACTTTCTAATGAGATTTTTGATATAAATTGATAGCAAGTGATAATCTATACAATGATGTCTACTCCTATTTCGAAAAATTGACTAAGTTACCATAGTAACGTTGTTTCCATCATGAAAAAGCAAATATATCGGTCGTGCTTAAAATGGCGTGTTAATATAGCACTCGATATCTAGGGGTCGCCAACAACTTGAAAAGTTCAAGAAATAATTTAAGATTATCACTCATGATGAAATTAGACATATCTTTACTACCACTTCACAAACTGGCATCATTGCAAGTCCGCGACGTCGTTTGCTCGTGTCAGAAAACGAAAATAAGGATCGGGGAATCACCAGATTGTCGTGTTAGCACGCAACAGGGTTGCCAGTTCTACTGGATTTTCAGGAGATCTACGGATTTCTATATTGATCTACATCAACTGAAACATTCATAATCTACTGAAAAAAAATCATGACACCTATTTATTATTATAATCGTCTATTAATGTTGATCTTCAGTTAATCACATATACTCATAATATCTTGAGTGATATTTGGTCACACTCTGTAAATAAATTTTCTGGCGCCACTTAATATAAATTCGAATGCGTCTAAGCGCTTGATATGTTGGTCAAAAATACTCACTTGTTTCGAGGGAAAAAAGTAATTTCATAAAAAGTGTCACTTGTTACCCGACGAAATAGATAAAATATTTGTTACTTGTCACAAGAAAATACAAATTTTTTGACGTCATAGGTTCATTTCATTATCCTGAAATTTCTATAGCATTAAATTGAATATACTGATTTCTTCTCAATTTCTGACAATTTATATCTACTGATGAAATGAGTATCGAGATGGCAACCCTGGCTCGTAACGCAATAAAAAGTTCACCGGGAAATCTCCATGTACGATGTCAACGGTCGATCAAGAAATGTCAAAATCTTGAAATTTCTCGAGTCAAGAAAAGAAATTATATGTCAAGAAAAACGTCAAGACAAGATTTCTTGACTTTTTCTCAAGACAAGACAAGAAGTTGTTATCAAGACAAGAAATATTGTCTTGGCGACCCCTACCTAGGCAACCAGATGAAGTTGAATGACCAAGGTGGCGTCAGGAGTTGACGTCATATGACGAAATAAATGACGTGAATAAACCACAGCCCAATGACGTCATATTGCTCACGTTTATTGACGTCATCCACTCACCAAACTGTGACGTCGGACTGACTATTTCGAAATGACGTTCAAATTTGGTAATGATACCTTGAAAAGTTTCCTTTAACATGGTGTGATAAACACCACTGACCTTGAATGACATATAATATCGATTATGCATTGTTGAGTCTGCTTGGAGGTCCCTCCGGTGTCATGTCCATTCAATCGTCTATTCAGCAGCGCTATCCTGTAGTACGCATCTCCATCAGAATGAAATCATTAACTAGTATTTGTATCAAAATCATGTAGTTTGTGTCGGCAAGATGTAAGCAAACCAAGAATAGTTTGAGAGCAATGAGAAGGACATGTTGGCGAATTTAGCTTCACTTTGTTGGGTATATTCATGCATTCTTCGTCACCCAAGGAGAATCTAAATAGCAAATTATTGGAAAATTTTCTGAATGACGAAACTCACCAAATTGGTACCTCACACCGACGTGATTTTTAGACGTCATATACACGTCACTGCAACGTCATAAAAATGCCGGTTTCAATTCTTAGTACACTATTACCATTTATATGAATACATATATTGCTTGATTGGTTTCCAAGATAAACAGGGTGTCAGAGTTTTGAAAAAAGTTTCCTACCTTCTGAGTATATCTAATTCCAATAAATCTTGCATGTTGATTTGGTTCAATGAATTATACGTTTATTAACGTCAGTAGCATATATATAAAATTACCAAGGCGTACATGTTTCTATATATGTGTGTGAAATTAAGGAAAAACGAGTATTCCTGAAAACTTTTTGACACTGAAAATGCCATCCAGAATATATAGGTACGTTACAAACCTAACGGTTTGTGATGGTTTTGAGACGGTCTCGAAAAAATAGACGTTGACAGGACGTCCCTGCAACGTTATGAAACTGATGTCTTATTTTACACATTTAAGTGACGTTAACTCGACGTCGATATGATGACGTGATTATCACGTCATAGAAAGTACTTCATAGTGACGTCATAAATTGGTGTATGACGTCTCTGACGGAAAATTACCAATTAGGGACGTCACATCGACGTGATCGTTCGTCATCTGGTTTTCTGGGTATCGCTATCGCTCTGGCTCTTACTATCACGATACTGTCCATAAAAGCCTATTTCACGCTCTTAATACACGAATGAATACTATTTTCAGTCAATGGAAAGCTGAAGAGTTGGGGAGAACTAGAGCGATGCCACACACGAAGAACTACTGCCTGATATCGCACTGCGAAAATAAACTGGCCTACTTTCTTCTAACGAGTGCTAATATGTCAAGATCCGCCTGGGGAACTCTTCATAGATCTGGAGACCTATCGGTGTACGTGCGGTCGTATGAAGCGGGCATAATGTTCTTGCCCGAATTCTTCGATGAAGAGGTTTTTGAGATAAAAGACACTGCTGAGAGGAAGAACCAGAAGCTGTTTCCTTTCATGTTCGATTTGCCTCTAACGCCCTACTCTCAGGATGACCAACCTCATACGAAGTCATCAGAGTGAAATGCCCAATACAGCAAAAATATTTGGAAAAACGTATTTTGGCAACTAAGTTGTCATTCTCAGTCTAATTGAAAATGAAATGAAGATAATAGACTCTATGGTTCATCTAACTGGATTCTCCAGGAGTTACCAGCGGTTGTCGTTATTGATGGTATACTATTTATACCAATAATTATTTCCTGGTTTAAAGAATAGTTGTCGCTTCGATGAACATCATTAATCGAACAGTTTGGAACCAGAAATGAAATCTCTATTGCGATGAATGTAAATTACTTTCCACATTGTTCAATTCCATATTGATAGATATTCGTCGAACCTATACTAGAGTTGTAATTTATTTTTGAATCATTGATGGAGTTTCCAATCGTGAATTCAAATTGAATTCATGAAGCAATATTTTAATTTTTTTACCCTATTTCAGACCTTCCATTTTTTCGAATGTATACCTTCGTTTTAGTGTTATTGCAAAAAATGCTGAAACATACCTAACCGTTTGTGATCTTCTGTTTATCATACATTCGAATATAAAAAACAACTGATTTGAGAATATCTTTGCTGGTCTTTGCTGGTCATATAATATCAACAATTTTCAGGACAAAAAAGGTTTAGATGACTAGACAGAAATTAGTCCAGCAAATATGGACAGGCTCCGAACGGTTTGAAAGAAATTAACTTATCATCAGATGCCGAACGGTTATTTTTTATTTTTGATATTATATAGCTGTATAGCTGAATACTTATACCGGGTGACACAGGGTATCGGGCCACCCCTGTAACTTCTGCATTCGTCAACTGATTTTTCTGAAATTCTGTACAGTTATATAAGCAATTATTTCGGATTTGATCACATTACAATCCAATATGGCGGACTTCCGGTATTTCTGGAAATGCCAGCAACTTTGTTTTTTTAAATGAAACACCCTGTATATTTTTACATATTCAAGTTCAACAGGTCGAAACAAGTGCAATCTTTATTTCAAATGTCATTTTTTCGAAAAAATTCAAATTAAAATTGTTTTTTCATTTTACCTCGTGGATAAATGAGATGTGGTCAAGACTATTCACAATGGGTCACACATAACAAAAGAACATAATTTTTTCTGAAAAATTATGTTTTGTGTCACTTATCCAGGAATCGATTCAGCCACATCACTTTTTGATCGAAAAATTGTTTTTTTCAAATGGAACCCCTATGGGCCACCTACCCGTCTCTTCAAAACATACATCAAGGAACAAGATGACATATCATTTTTGTTTTTCGGTGCAGTAACAAATTGTATACATTCAAAAATCAACAACTAGGTAGTTTATGAATTTCCTTGCAGTTAGAATAATTTTTCAACTAGGTGAGCTGTGGAATAAATGACATTAGACATCAAGATTACACTTGTTTTGACCTGTTAAACTTGAATATGGTAAAATATATAGGGTGTTCCATTTGAAAAAACAAAATTGCTGGCATTTCCAGAAAAACCGGAAGTCCGCCATATTGGATTGTAATGTGATCAAATCCGAAATAGTTGCTTATATAACTGTACCGAATTTCAGAAGAATCCGTTGACGAATGCAGAAGTTACAGGGGTGGCCCGATAACCTGTGTCACCCGGTATTGTTTGTTTTTGCATTGTTTTATTTTCAGTCGTTCAAGTGTTGTTGTTAGATACATTTTCTCCTTAAAAATGGTCAATAAAAATTGAGATATGAACTTCAACACCTCGTTTATGTCGAAAACAAGTTTTCCTACCACAAACAAAAGAGAAAGTGTGTGTCGGCTCGGTCAGTTTTAAATTATCAATATTGAAATGAGACTGCATCTCTTGCTATTTTCACTATTTCCAGTTAACATACATTGATTGTTCATGTGATGGTCGTGTTGGAGACCACTTATGGTCGACAAGTTATCGGTATATGATTCACCATGTTTAGGATAGAATAGAAGAAAACGCACTTGATTCTTGAAAATTTCAACCCAATCAGCTAAAGTACATCTTTTATAGACGTCTTTGAGGCGTATTTTCCACAACGTAATTTCGTTTCCAAAAAGTACATTTTAGGTCTCAGAGACGTCTTTTTTAGGTATTTTTTCCATGTCCATGATTTTGAACTGTATACTGAAGTTGGCAACTAGTGCAGCTAAGCGAAAAAAAAACGACCACAGCAACCGGTACCTACCCATCCAAGTACTAATAACCGCGCTCGTTGTTGCTAGACTCCATTTATTACATAACAAACTTCACTTTCACATGTCCTGGTGTCTGTTATCATTACTCACAAGTTAGATTTGACACAATTCGTTGTGACATTATCATTGAATTAAAAAAAACGAAATGACGAGTCCAATATGGCGGACAATTTTGTGATGATGATCCGATTCGAGTCGGGGGATTTCGGGGTCCAAAAACGTGAAGAGATTACTTTTTCGTGTGTTTTCTTCAGAAAATAACTTGAATTATTGAACATTCATATACGTCGAATTAACATACTCGAATGTACGTCTTTGAGACGTATTTTATGCGATATGATGATCTGACTGAAATAGCATCAGCCTTCACCTGTTGATCTCCCGTAATCCAAATAACAGTGAAGTTGACTCTTCACTTTTTGGAAACAATGCCTCTACTTAGTAGAAGCTATTCCACTTCTTATATCGGATTCTGATTGATAGAGAAGTATTATAATTCTACTGTGAAATCAAACCACTGCTGGTGAGCAGACTTGATACTTGTTCCATCAAAATCCAAATGAATAGTTGAATCGCATGACAATGAACAAGATAGCAACACTAATCACTAAAATCGTACCAGCTACTTTGATAAGAAGCGTATTCAAAATCGAATCAAGAAAAAAACAAGCAGGCTTTCCACCCAACTTAATATTCCTCGAAGTATTAAGTGCGTTCTCTTTTATCCAAGCCAAAATATGGTAAATCATATACCGATAACTTGTCGACCATATTGGTCTCCAACATGACCACCACATGAACAGTGTGTACGTTAACTCAAAATAGTGAAAATGGCAAGAGATGCCTTCATAGTTTCTTTCCAATAATGATGATCTAAATCTAACAGCGCCGACATATACAGGGTGTTTCTCAAGTACGTGTAGAAAATTCAGGAGCTTGTTGCTGACGTCAAAATAAGAACAAAGGTTTGTATGAATATATTATGTCCGAAAGTTATTCGTTTCTGAGATACAGAGTGTCAAAGTTGAATTCTTATTTTTGTTCTCTGTCAATAAATTTCAAAATATTCGTGGTATGCGAATGAAGTTTGGTATATAGGGGTATTTTTCAATGACGATTTCAACTTTCAGGATAGATTGTCTCTTTCGTGGGGGTGGGCCACCTACATGTCTTTTGAGTCTATTGAAAAGTCATAACTTTTTTATGCGTACACGTTTTATAGTGAAAAATAGATTTTTGGAGCACTTTTTTGTAAAAAATATATTCCTCGCTGCGAGCAACTGTTTTCAAGTTATTGGGATATGAAATAATCAATGCAAGTAATTTGGAATGACAAGAAGAATTCAACATTGATTTTTTAAGTAAGGAAAATTAAGTTTCTTTAATTTCTTAATTGTTCAATGTGGCCACCTTGCATCATTATGCATGCGTCTATTCGTAGTTTCATAGACCCACGTACATGTTGCCTTATACCAGGTGTATTTCATAAAGCGTCACATCCAACAATGATCCGTTGACGAAGTGAATCTTAGCTTTCTATAGGCACCGTGTAAATGGCCTTCAAGTGACCCCACAAAAAAATCGATTGGATTTAATTTGAACTAGCATGAAATTTGATATTATCATTGAAAAATACCTTTAGATACCAAACTTCAATCGAATATCACAATTATCTTGAAATTTGATGCAAAAATGAGAATTCAACTTTGACTCTCTGTATCTCAAAAACGAATAACTTTCGAGCATATTTTTATACGAACTTTTCTTACTTTTCTTCTTATTCTGACATCAGCAACATGCTCCTGAATCTTCTACATGTACTTAAGAAACACCCTGTATATAACATTTTCATTCTCTCCATCGATCATCAAAGTTATCCAACTCAAACCGGAGACATAGGAATTTACATATGAATCTGGCCAACTTGTCGCCATATTGAGTTTCAAAGAGTTTGAATTGAATGAAAGTTAAGTCCATTTTGATAGTTGATGGTACTTACCACTGGGTTGAATAGACTGCCAATAATCAGTCCGAAACCTGAGCCAGACATTCCACTGAGCGATTGGAGGAGCAACAGCATGCAAAATCGATGCCAATCTCGTATCTGATTACTGAGTAGATAGGAGGTGAGTGAATATACTGAAGTGAAAATCACCTGAAAATTTGATACTGTCAATTGAATTTGCTCTTAGTGTATATATGGTCCTGCTTTATTACAAAGTGATTCATTTCGCTTACAGCGTATTCAAAATTCTTGCCTAAAGTTTCTATACGGAGTACGAAAATATGATCACATATCTGCTAAGATGCATGACCCTGGATAGTTACGGTTAGAACAATCAAGGTATTTGCATTTGTTTACTCAAGTGCATAAAGTTCTGAAAACCGGTAAACCTTATAGTTATCTCCACAGAAGACTACAAACTTTCACAGATATCAACCGAATTTCCAGTCACAATAAAACCACTCTTGTTATCCCAGAACATAATTCAATTTTCTTCAAACGCAGTTTCTCTTATGCAGCTGGAAAATATTATGATCCACTTCCCATGGAATTTAGATCTTCCACTCCCAGTAACTTTAAGAAGATATCAAAGCTTGATCTTTCAGCCAGTACATTCAAAAATCTACCAATGCTTTTCTGACAATCCTTTGTTGATTCAATTCTCAATATCATGGATTCTTTTATTTGATTTTCTTAATTTCTTCTTCCTATTGTATACTATACTATATATATGAGAAATAACGCATCTACATTGTTTCTACACCTTTTATGATTTATATTTTTGTAAATTAACATGTTCTCCTGATTTATTTTTGGGGTTGAGTTGAAAAACAGCTCTTTGCTGATACTCCGCCTATTCACCATTGCAGATAGAAGGTTTGGCAAAATATCTTTGTTTGATTTTTTTTGTGCAATCTTCATTTCTGCAAATGATGAATAAAGACGATTTATCATTATTATTATAATTAGTTATAGATAATCATTGATTGATAAAACACGTCTAGAATGATACTAGGAGGTATATGTTTCGGAATGTTTGCCTAAATATTGGTTCCTGTGGAAAGCTAATGGCTCGATCATTATACTGGGAAAAACAACAGTAACTCTTTCACTCTCAACTTCTTAACGCCCTGTGGGTAGTGTTGGAAGAACGATTAACTTGAGTTTTCAAAATGGTGAGCCTCAACTTTAGTTCAATTAATTTTTGGTTGACCTAGAAAGATCTTCCCGTAAAAGTTACAACGATAAAACTTCGTTGTGTTCCTCCATCAAATGACTACTTCACCGGTTACATTAACTCCTTAGATTTTGAGACAGGGTGAATCGAAAAATCGGAAATATCAAAATTTGCCATTGAATAACTAACACCCTATATGGGATTTCACGTTCAAATTTTGTATGGGAGAATTTCAGCTATACCTGAATGAAAATATAGGTTAATCACTATGTCGGAAAAATTGTCTTATAGTCGTTTTCGAAATTTTATTGGCTCCTTCAACAATCGAAAGTAGGTCTTGAAAATCTGGATATTTAAGATTTGTTCACATTTTAGAATAGCGCTCGTTGAGTACTATATTATGGAATTTTTGTTTTTCGAAAATCGGTCAACGTGTTACAAATCAGGAGAGTGTTGCGGGTTGAAATCGCACACACTTTATATACCGTTATATCAAAATATCAATATGGGATTACGAAAATATATATTTTCATTCGGTCGAACGACAAGTAGCTCATTTCGTGCATAATTATATAGATCTGGGACTGATAACTCTTCATCTAATGGTTCACCAAACAAACCTTCCAATCTCTGTAGGATTAGTACTCACCTGTAATGGCATATCGAAAAGCATTACTGCTGCGAAGTACGTATGCACTTTGTACCAGTTGTTGAAATTTTCTTTCTTCAACATGCATAACTCTGATGGAACTGAAATGAAGAAAATATTCTAGAACTTCATTTTTGACATCCTCAGAAATCGGTTGATGAGTATACAAAAATAAAACAGAACTGAGTTCGTACAGTTCTGATAGGTTATTCTCAGAGCTGGGCATTATTTGTATTTACAAATACTTTTTTGTATTTAAATACTTTTCGGTATTTAAATACCGAGTATTTAAATACTTTCTGGTTCAGGTATTCATATTTATACTTACAAATATTCGTTGAAATATATTTTTAACTTAGTATTTGCAAATAGTTTCGAAAAGTATTTAAATATATCTGAAGTATTTAAATATTTTCGGAGTATTTAAATACCCAAAAATATTTAAATATTTCAGAAGTATTTGAACATTCGTAAAATATTCAAATACTGTTGAAGTATTTAAATACTTTTAGCTTTTCTGAATCTGAGCTGATTTCAGGGACCTCCACATACAACATCCATTATAGTGAATGGTGAATTTATTTCATCAATCTGACAATGATAATTCATGCATTTTCAGAGACGAGGATCGAAAACCCAAAGAAATCGAGTAAAAATAAATGGTAATTCTGTTGAAAAATCATAGGTAAGTGAGTAAGTCACTAATCAGACATCATCCTTTTCTATTGATGTCGGGTTTTGACAATTTGACGCCTTCCTAGTGCAGTACAAAGAATTATTCATAACATCTACATGACACAAGGTAATTAAAGGCGTCATGAATATATTCAAATCCTCGAGGATATTTGAAAACTTCGGATGTTTTAAACTCTGGAAGTATTTAAATACTTCGGAAATATTTAAATACTTTGGAAGTACTCAAATACTTTGGAAATATTCAAATACTTTCAGCGTATTTGAATACTTTGCAAATAATCAAGTTTGGAAATACACAAATACTTCGTAAGTATTTAAATACTCACTGTGAACTATTCAAATACTTTTGTATTTGTTATTTGAATACTATTTGGCCTTTGGCAATATTTAATATTTAAATATTTTCAATATCCGAAAGTATTTAATACTCAATATTTAAATACTTTTCTCAGAGTATTTGCCCAGCTCTGGTTATTCTCCTCTACAAGGAACCAAAACAGTAATTATCATAAGTAATTTCACGATATTCTGAATATTCGAGATGATTTTGTTGCTTTACTGTTTACGAAATTGTGTTGCCACCACGAGTCCGTCAGGACGAGTGGTATTGCTGTACGACAACACAATCGAGTGAACAATGAAAGACAGAATTATGAGAAGATATTCAGAACAGAGTGGTATTTTGCTAGACTATTTCACGTTCACGAAGCAAGAAAAGCATTCATCATAAATGAGTGATTCATTCTGACAAGTACAGCCATAATATAATTTTATGCCAAACTGACAGACCTTGCTTCGCAATCCATGGTTACATCCAGACTTCGATTTGCTATCCATGGATACATCGTTAAAAACATGAACGCTGTCAGACCAATCAGAATTGAAAGACAGCTCATGTTTTCGCCATAAGCACACGTTTTCTCTGGCTTGTGATTGGTCAGATTATGTGATGAGTGAAATAGTCAGTTAATATTGTTGAATGATTTTTTTTTTCGAGGACTGTTCACTGTAGGGAGATATTACTGAATTTCTGTTCCGTATACAGGGTGATTCATTGGGAAATGCGGATACAGTAAGGGTAGAAGGAGGACACCGAGGTACTTCGAAATAATCTATATTTCATGGGTCTATATCATTCTTCATCAATCATACCCCATACAATTTGTTGATATTTCGTTTATATGTTCTTTGTCCATAGTGGTAACGAATGACATATAAGAAAATTGTCTGATTCCAGGGCCGGCCTTGGAAAAATTAATAAGTAGGTTTCGAGTCGAAACAACACCCTGTGTATCAATCTTTCAGAATTTTATTCACGAATGTGGAAAGAGTAGGAAACAATAAGTGAATGTTTTTGGTGTTACCGCATTCAACTTTTTTACCTATTAACTTGAGTCAAATGTAGAGGTTTCAATAATGAGGGGGCACAAAATTTTTAAAAATTTACGTACCTATCAGAAAATCATCATAAAATTATCATAACATATGTTTATTGTACTACATTCACAACAACAATTATTATGAAAATGTTGAACAATGCCTATTCCGAAAAAGACATAACAGTATTTCAACAGCTTCTCATGATCTACAAAGCGCAGATACGGCCTGTTCTAGAATACTGTTCCCACATATGGGGTTCAGCACCAAAACATACGCTGATGCTCTTAGATTCCATCCAGAAAAGATCCATTCGCCTGGTGGGTGACGCCACACTCACTCACTCTTTGACATCATTGGAACACCGTAGAAAGGTCGGCGACCTTTCACTTTTCTATCGATACTTCCACGGGAAATGTTCTTCGGAAATCTCTGCTATCATCCCTTCACTAGCAATACCAATCAGACGAACTAGACAAGCCCAGTCAGCACATCCTTTCGTTGTCAACCTCGAAAGATGTCGAACAGCACTTTATCAAGACTCCTTCATCCATAGAACGGCTAGGCTCTGGAATTCATTGCCTGTGGAAGTATACGCAACAACATATAATCTCCAAAAGTTCAAAAAAAATTCCAATACCTACCTCCTGTCCCTATCCTCCCTAGGAACGCACGATGTTCTCTGAACATTATAGGGATTCCCTTTCGTGCGCTCCAAACACAGTGTAGTATGGAGAGGAATGAATAATCACTATTATCATTGTTGATATGCTCACTAACCTAACATTTTCCACGTCTTGTTTCTATAGCCTGGCACGGGCGCGGTATCACAGTGCGGTATTTTCCATTAGAGCACCTGGTCTATACACAAATATGTCACTCTGTAGTTGTATTTATATTGAAACTACAATTCGAACATCCTAGAAAACCTAATCTGCTGTTAATGCAGGTAGAATTTTCTCACCACATGGATTATTTGTCAATATTTGTTGCATTGCATACATATGGCACGGTATTGGTGGTTATACTTCCCATGTTTATTTGAGTTGATTGATTCGGTTGCAGAAAAAAGGGCATGTTTCATTCGGATCAAAAGTGACTTTGTTCGACTCGCAAATTTTGCTTGTCAAACAAAGTGTCACTTTTAATCCTAATAAAACAATCTACTATTTTTTTTTTCATTTTTGTGCCAGCTCATTAATAAATCTTCTAGATCTGACTCAAATTGAAAGGTGAAAAATTTTTACTTATAGAGCCTTGTCACATTATGTGGTTCACATTCGTCTGTGAACCATAAGTGTTTCTACCTACAATAGGATCCAAGCAATTGGACTCTGGAAGTCTTTTATTCCTTCACCCTGGGTCTTTGTAAAAAAATCTTGAAAGAAGTCCTTTCTGGATTCTAAATATTCAATATGCTTACATTTTAAAACTGCAGGCATGCTGGCGGTGTAGACCATATAAACTGTACTAACTGTGAAGAAGCCAAGATTAGTGACAGCTTTATCTGCATCCTGACCGCAATTCTGGTAGGTCAATCCTAAGAATAGTCCGACTAATAAATGAAGAAGTATCTTCAGCTGTGAGATCGTCTAAAAAACAAAACCTGGTTGAAAAGACAATGCAGTATAGATCTCGAACACCCCAAATAGCATATATTATGTTTTTTTATTAACACATATTTTGGCCCACTCCAAAAAGTCAAACTGAATAGTAAGTTCGCAAACTTATCAAGGACCGATGACACTAGCATTATTTAAGATTTTTCTTCCATTATCCTGATCAGGATCATCTGGATTAACTATTTTCAGGAATAAATTGGGAATAATGTTCCGCCACCAGAATTTCAAAGTTCCGCCACCAGAATATTGAATGTTCGTTTTAATTTTTTCGAATAACGTTTTCTACATCTTGAGACACGGCAGTGTGTCACACCAAGTACTTTTTTTAATTCCCATTCGATTCCAGCTTTTTGAAGGACACTGTATACTGCATCATCTTACAGAACTCCTATTTCATCCCAAGTATCAAGAGAGTCACGAGGAATATCCAGTTCAAATTTCAGCTTGTGGAAATGAAAGTATAGTGGAATTCCCTGAATTACAATTCTCACAGAGCACAAATATCTGTAATTATGCTCGGTAAATGTATATAGGTATCTATTTGTCTGAAAAGAGTTCCTGATCATTTTGTATTCCGCTTTTGTATTATGCTATTTGAGATTTGAGAATATCAAAGTCCGATTTCAAAATGATCACACACTTACCCAATCTCGGTATATCTGCACTCCGGATCTTCGTAATAGAACGAGGAATTTGAACCATTCGGAAGGCATTCCAATACTATCTATCCGCTGCTTTGGATAAACAGAGTTTTTGTATGTGTCAACAGGATCATTACATATTTCTGAAACGCATAATATACACCAACTCAATATAAATGACAAAACTACATTGTACGGAGAGTATAGAAGGGTTCAAGTTAGTTTAACAAGAACGATTTTTTTTTATTTATATTTATATATATATATTTATACGTGTTATTTGTTCTATAATCTATATGCTACTTTTGAGTCCTGTTTATGTATGTTTTCCACATAAACGGGACTTAACAGTAGCATATAGAACAAATAACAACGTTGGGAAGGTTTATCAAAAATAATACAGACAAAACTCCTAAATTCGATAAATCAGGGGTATGCAATATACAATACTGGTAAAATGAACTAAACTAACCTTGGCTTGCTCAACTTTTATATATCCTACTGTCCCAACCTGAAGGATTAGTTACCTGTGGACAGGTTCGATAAACCTTCATTTTCGGAAATTAGGCACAATATCTTCATTAAAATACGGTGTACCGGATTAACTCGAAAGGGTTGATTTCAAATACATATTCTTACTTACTAAGAAAACAAATTCAACAGTGGTGACCTATTGAGGTCCAATTGATCGTTAAGTAAAATGTCAGAATTTTTGAGTTTGTTGATTTCTAATTATTCAAAATGATTGAGTTTCATTCCTTTATTTGTTACGTGTAAAATTTCGAAATCATCATCAAAACTATGGTTTTCTTCTGATATATGGTTGGCGTATTTTGAATTTGTTTTCTTTTTCAAAAAAATGCATCCTATGTTCATGAATGCGTTGATTAAACGTACGACCTGTCTGGCCTATAAATACCGGGTGACCAGTTATATTCTGACCCATTTCAACTGCTCATATCTCCGAAACTATTCAAATTATCATTGTGCGGTTTGAACTTCTCTATTTTGGTAATCTTCAAGTTTTTTGACTGGTTCACCTCTCACCTGAACTTCCGGTTCTACCGGAAACAAACAAGCCAGTATTCAGGTATAGGGCAACTTTGATAACATTGCATAATCTCATTAAACCATTCCACAAGCAGTAGTTGTTTCAAAGAGTTATAACTCTAATAGTTTTCTAGGAGAACATAACTTGAAATACATTGTAAGATAGATAAAAGACCAGTCTTTCTGAATGTGCAAAAATATACAGGGTGATTCAATTAAATAAAAAAGTTGCCCTATACCTGGATTATTGCTTGTTTGTTTCCTTCAGAACCGGAAGTTCAAGTGAGATGATGAACACGTCAAAAAAAACTTGAAAAACATCAAAATAGACTAGTCCAAACCGCACAGCGATAACTTGAATGGTTTCTGAGATATGAGCATTTGAAATAAACTGAATTTGAATATAACTGATCACCCGGTACCTTAGGACATGATCCACATTTGAGTTTGTATACCCCTGATTTTTCGAATTTAGAAGTTTTGTCTATATTATTCTTGATGAACCGTCCCAACGTGTTATTTGTTCTATATGCCACTTTTAACTCCTGTTTATGTAGAAATGAAGCTAATATCTCAGTTGATGATCCGAAATAGGTTAAAGTTCTATAATTTTGATTATTATTCTTGATGGTAGGATAAACTTCTTGAAAAGCTTCATGATGAAGTTTTTCAGAAAGAATACTGTCTATCAAATTAACGTTGTATCCGTTGTTGACTGCAATCTGTTTCATGATATTGAGTTCTTTATTGAAATTTACTTCCGAAAGTGGGATATTCACTAGCCTGTGTATCATACTATTATATGCTGCAATATATTGAAAGAATATAACTGATAACAAAAGCAAGGTGCATATTTTTATCGATCATTGGGAGAGCAAGGTATCACTACAAATGCCTGGTGATTGGTCGTTTTTAGGAAATTGAAAAGATCTTATTGGTTCTTGGAATAGTCGTGTGTTAATCAAGAGCATTTTTCTTCGACGTAAACTTGACATTTCTAGGCAACAAAACTCGAATTATAAATAATGTTGAGTTTACTTCGACCCAAAAAAATATTTGAGTGTAATGCGGTTGTGGTTGCGTGAATTTTGCGAAACATATATATGTGATTTCAAATTATAATAATTATTCCTAATAAAACAGGTTATTTACGATGCTACCAAATTCTATAATTTATTGAAATTTATGGCGAGGGCAACATTGATATATCATCCATTATTATTCATTTATTTTTTTAAACACAATTAACCAAAATTCTTCAAATATATGTGAGAACCTTCATTGATGAGAATATATTATTCTTAAACATACGAACGTTCCTTCATATAATCTCGATTTCGAAATTATTAACAAGAAATTCGTTCACCAGTTGGGAGGAAAAGTTGGGGAGGAAAAGTACGACTTTGCTCTGGATAGAGGTAGACGGAAAAATAAATTAAACATTGTAAATTTGAATAGAGGCAAAAGTGAATAAATTTCAAGTAATCTAAACTACCCCACATTTGAAGAGAGACAAGCAAAAATCTTCATTTTCAAACCGTCATAACTTTGGATTAGATCAACCAATTTTCAATTCCTTCATGAAGACGTACAGGGTGATATCTGAAAATGTGATAAATTTCGAAAATGTTCGGGATCACCCCGTTTCACCGGGATTTTTTTTAAATGTTTTATTGAGGGCGATAAAACGAAGGACAATGAGTTTTTTCGAAATGGTTTTGGATTCAAGAGGATTCATACAGGATGTTTCGATGTATGGAATTCTTCACATTATATTGCAATTTTCGGCAAGTTTGAGATCGCCCCGTTTGGCAGGGATTTTATTATGTTTCATTTAGGGCGATAAGATGAAGCATAATGAGTTTTCTTGAAATGCTTCTCTATTCAGGAAGATCTATTGAGGAAGTTGTGATATATGGAATTTTTCACAATATATTGCATTCTGATGTTCAACCAACATGTACTTAACTTCAACAGAACTTTAGATTAGCTCTTATCCGGCTCAACGATATCACAATACAATGTGTTGTACATTTTCATCCTGTATTTTATTCCATATGTGGTTAGGGATTATTATAACGAATTCAACAATTCTGGGTTTGAGAGGGTTATTTCGAAATGCGGAATTTCCATAATATGCTCAATAAGACGTGTGACAGAAAAAGAAGTTTCGATATTGCGCTGTCACACCCATTGAGCATATTATGGAAAATTCGAACGCCAATATCGTAATCGTTTCGAATGACCGTTTCGAACCCGGTATCGTTGAATTTGTTATGATAATCCCTTACTGATTATTAAATAAAATACAGGGTGTTCCATTTGAAAATCGAGAGTTGGGGCCATTTCCGGTAAAAGCGGAAGTGATGGGAGAGTATGAAATATCTAGAAATTGTACAACTCTTGAATCCAACACCCCTGTCAAGTTTGAATATTATTCGCGGGAATCAATGTTACCAGTTGGCGCTCGGTTTTCGTCGTTCCATGTCAAAGCCCCGTCAAAACTGGGGGAAAACAAACTCAATCCTTACTCAATCCCATTAGTGCCATTAGCTTGTGTACTGTGTACTGATAAGAGTGATAAGTTCTTGAATTTCTTGACATTAATTGTCAATATTCGATCGAAAACGCTAAAAACGCCTGTTGTAGATGTTCATCATAGATATTTTGCTCTATTCAGACGGAGAAAGCCGACCAGTAGTGGAAGGAGAAGCAGTTCTCCGTGCTAATCATGTGATTTTGTGAGGCAGAAGACTTCAACAAAAGGTACATTTTTGCACTTCATCTACAAACTTCGGCGATGAAATCATCCCCACATGAAGTAAAATTGAAGTGGGGTTCAGAGGAACTCTTGTTGAACAATGGATTTGTATTTTTTCATGCAAAGCAGGACAATCTGGGTATTGTAAACATATGTTGTAGCTGTTCTTTTATATGTCAATTGATTTGCTCGTCATAATTAGTTTGAATCGTTTGAACTATCTCCAATTCTTCACCCGTTCACTGTTCACTAAACTAATGAAAATTTAATAATGTAAAAAAATTAACCAACTCAACTATCATCATTACCAACAATGCCAACACTTCATGTCATTGACAAGTTTGACTACAGCTTCAGCAAGCTGAATGCAATGTAGTCTATGCACTTTATCCATAGACAACAGTTTGTTTTCCCCCAGTTTGAAGTTCGTATTATGTTACCTAGATGTCGCCCACTTCGTGAATCTCGCGAATATACCTTCGGAACTCTTTAAAGTATGGCTTTTTTAATGAATATGTTGACACCCGGAAGACACTGTGAAAATAAACGACAACTTCAATTATTGTTACTGTCAGATATTGTCAATATGTTGTTGCACGTCCCCTATATAGCAGCTACGAGATCCCTCATTCTTCTTGGCATTCATCATTTCACATTTCCTTCTCTATACGTGTTTTATCGAATTCATGCCGGGAGAAAGTTTTTTTTCTATTTCTTGGAGCGCACGAAAAAAAATCCCTATACAGGGTGTCTGTAAAAGGTCTTTACAAAAACATACCACATATTCCGTAGACCAAAATTAGTCGATTTGAGTAAAATTACCTCAGTACAAAGTTGCATCGTTTGGGCTCCAGAGGGCCTTGAAGTTACAATTTTTAAATCGTTTTTCCCATATAAATTCAAAACGGCATATGCGATTTTGCTGAAATTTGGCATATTGATAGAGTTTTATGTGGCGAAAGAAATGGTGTTGAAATTTTGTCCGATATCAATCCATAGGAGTAGAACTTGATTTTTTAATTAATTGCACCTCAAAAATTCTACGCCAATGAAAGAACAGGAGTTTGAGTATGAAATTCAGATTGCGCAACTCATTCACTTCGAAAAAGGTACTCCTGATATGACTCGATTGCTCTCATGGCTTTGACGAAATTTGCATTTTAGTAATTTTAGAACATAAACAATAATTATTAAAATACAAACTTTGTCAAAACCATGAGAGTAAATCGAGTGTTATCAAGGGTACTTTCTTGTAGTAAATGAGTACCCATTCCAAATTTCATACTCAAACCCATAGGCGTAGAACTTGATTTTTTAAATAATTGCACCTTTAAAAATTCTTCGCCAATGGTAGAAAAGGGGTTTGAGTATAAAATTTGGATTGGGTACTTATTTACTACGAAAAAGTACCCTTCATAACACTCGATTTACTCTCATGGTTTTGACAAAGTTTGTATTTTAATAATTAAATTGTTTATGTTCTAAAATTACTAAAATGCTAATTTCGTTAAAACCATAAGAGCAATCGAGTCTTATCAAGAGTACCTTTTTTAAAGTAAATAAGTTGCGCAATCTATATTTCATACTCAAACTCCTTTTGTTCCATTGGCGTAGAATTTTTAAAGGTGCAATTATTCAAAAAATCAAGTTCTACCCCTATGTATTATTATCGGACAAAATTTTAACACCATTTCTTTTGCCACATGAAACTCTATCAATATACCAAATTTCAGCAAAATCGCATAAGCCGTTTTAAATTTATATGGGGAAAACGATTTAAAAATTGTAACTTCAAGGCCCTCTGGAGCCTAAACGATGCAACTTTTTACTGAGGTAATTTTACTTAAATCGACTTATTTTGGTCTAAGGAATATGTGGTATGTTTTTGTAAAGACCTTTTACAGACACCCTGTATAATGTTGGAGGAACATAGTGCGTACCTAGAGGTAGGATAGGGAGAAAATGAAGGCAATATTGTGTTGTCTTTGAACTCCAGTGACAATTCTCGCACGATGTGGTAGTTCATTATCATTATCATTAACCCAGTATGAAATTGTCACCAAAAGTTCTGGGCAACTGGAACGACAATTTCCCTAACACAATAAATGTCTTATTGATACTGAAGAGCATTCATACTATCTCTCAAGATAACCAACGTGGGGAAACGATTCATCATGATACCGCCCCATGTCAATTTTATATACTCATCATTTTTTCATTATGAATATTGTGGTCATAATAATTATTATCGGCATTTTTTTTGTAATATTTCTATACATTTCGACATCCCCTATATTCGAAAATGTACAACACATTCTGTAGTAATGGCGTTGAAGATATGCAATGTACAGTTTATCTTGGCATGACCATGTTGCCAATATAGCCAGAGCTGCCTCTCAAAAGCTGGGATTCCTCTTCCGCGCAAAGAAGTATTTCACCTCACAACAGCTTATGAGACTCTACAAAGCCCAGATTCGACCATCCCTTGAGTACTGTTCGCACGTCTGGGGATCAGCTCCAAAACACTCCCTGAGGTTGCTGGAGTCGGTTCAAAGAAGAGCCATCAGGCTCATCAATGACCCAACTCTGACAAGAGCACTGCAAACTTTACAACATCGGAGAGACATTGCAGACCTATCACTCTTCTATCGCTACTATCATGGACGATGCTCTGTTGAATTGTCATCAGCTTTTCCCCCTGGAATGACCTTCGCTCGCCAAACGCGGCTGGCTCAAGTCTCACACCAATATGCAGTCAAAATTGAAACACCTAGAACAACATATTTCAAGAACTCCTTCTTTTGTAGGACATCTTCACACCCACAGATGTATTTCCAGCGAACTACAATCTATTTACCTTCAAGAAGAGGATCCATCGATATTTGTCCCTCCTTAGTGCTCGCAGTTCCACCACGGGATTATAGGTCCAACCTTTTGCGAGCACTTCCGAATAAAAAAAAAAAATTGAAATTCTGTTGAAGTTGAGTTTATGGTGGTGGAACATATCAGAATGCAATATGTTCTGAAGAATGCCATACATCCAAACATCCTGTATGAATCCTCTTGAATTCAAAACCATTTCGAGCAAACTCATTGTTCGCCATTTTGTCGCCCTCAATAAAACATAAAAAAAATTCCCGGTGAAACAGGGTGATCCCAAACTTTTCGATAATTATCACATTTTCAGATATCACCCTGTAGGTCTTCATGTCGTAAAGGTGGAATAATATGAAAGTACTGACGTTGTACCCAATGGAATGAGCTATCAGAATCTTGAATGGAATTGAAAATTGAATGATCCACTCCAAAGTTATGACGGTTCGAAAATGATAGAAGTTTTTGCTTGTCTCCCTTCAAATGTGGGGCAGTTTATACAGGGGTGAGTCATTATAGTGGCGAAGTGAGATAACGGCTTTACTGTTTGAGATAGATGAACAAAAATTTCAGAGATGATCTAGGATCATGAGCAGCAGATTCCCAAATTATTTCTCTTTATACAGGGTGACTCAGAAATGCGTGGCGTTATATGCGTTATACTTTTTCTTATAGGACACCCTGTATTTCATTGAGATTTTCGCATTCTCCTTTTTGAGCTGATTTCATCAATGCATCACACTTGAGGTCTAGCGAGCGAGAATGATAACAGAGATATAGGGTGTTCAAAATCGAGATTTTTCAACTGTAGGATTTTTTTGCGTCGAAACTATTCATTATTAGTCAAAACGACTTTTATGTCCCTATCTCAACTTTTCATTCGACATTTATTTGAAACAAATACAGGATGGTTCAAAATTCAGCATTCTGATCACCCTTGTATCTGTTCCAATGGAATGTCTGTGGATAGTAAATCAAAAGTTGGGATAGGGACATGAAAGCCGTTTTGACCAATAATAAATAGTTTCGACGCAAAAAATTCCTAAAGTTGAAAAACCTCGATTTTGAACACCCTATATCTCTGTAATCATTCTCGCTAGACCCCAAGTGTGATGCATTGATGAAATCAGCTCACAAGGGAGAATGCGAAAATGCAATGAAATACAGGGTGCCCCATAAGAAGAATTATAACTTTGATACGTCACGCATTTCTGAGTCACCCTGTATAAAGCGGAATAATTTGTAAATGTGCTGCTCAGGATCATAGTTCATCTCTGGAATTTTTGTTCATCTATCTCAAACAGTAAAGCCGTTATCTCATTTTGCCACACTAATGACTCACCCTGTATTGATGAGATTTTGGATTTTGAATAAAATGCCTATGATTGGATTGTTTTTCTCAAATGGTTAATACTTACTGGCAGGGTGATTTCCCCTCCATTTCTCTTCCAGAGCTGCATGAGCTAGCATATCGGTATGGTCCCCATAGTCTCCTTTTACAACCTCAATAACTAAAAATATAATATATACTGTGTGTGCGATTTGGAATTGAAAAATCCTCGTAGTTTGCAGTGAATATCCACATACATTTTTATGTGGTAGCAGATGTTCCCGAAATGGCCAAAGATAAGTTGTAATTCACTTCTTTCAATATTTCAATATACCTAAATTCTTCTTCTTCTTCAAATATTTTTCAATAAGATCGTCACTACAAAATATTATTGAATGGATTCCTATTTGGATTTCTTATACTGAAATTTTGAATACAGTGAAATTTTCGGGGCACATCATCTAATTTGTCCTTATTGCTCAGTGGCGAAGTCAGTGAGATGCTTGGGGGGCTAAGCTTCCCCAAATTTTGATCTCGCTCGCTCTCCAAGAAAATTGAAGATAATATAGTCGTTTCAATATGTTTCAATATACCAAAACTATCGATCACCAGGAACTACTATAGACTAATTTTCAAAGACATGAAGCCGAAAATTGAGGCTCTCACATTCAACAGTGGCGCGTGAATTTGTATTTGAACCTATTGTCAATATCATATAATCCCAATGTCCTGAAGGTATGAGCATTGAAAAAGTGATCTCAGATAATAACTCTATGGATATTAATGAACAGTGACACGGTGACACCTTTTGTGTGTCCTCAAAAAATCTCGAAATAAAAATTCACCTACAGACAGAATTCTAAATACTTTTCACTTGCTCTTCATATTGTTCTCATTTTCAGATCATTTCAGATCATTTTGTATCAATTAAAACAAGATGAGATTGAAACTGAATAATATATAACATAATTATATGAAGAAGAAGCCGGCTTGGAAAAAAATTAAATTTTCAATTTGACAGAATTTGATCATGAGCCGTAAAAAGATTTCGCCTGCAGAGCATTTTTGTCTGTTCGAAAATTGTTTCTAGGTTCCTTGCCCTTTGGTATCCACTGAAATTACGCCTCTGGACTTTATGCCCTCAAAATTGGAGAGCTAACTTCGTTGTCCTTGCTATAAGATAAGTATTTCGAACTAATATCCACATTCATTCGAAAAGACCACAGAACTCAAGGTTTGAGTCTTATGGAAGAGACGAGGAGAGATGAACGAATTTGAGAACAGCTCATCCTAGTAGTAGTAGTAGTATAACTTTGCCACTAATACTTACAATAATTACCATCCAAGTATTGACTCTCAACTAATATATCTCCTAATTACCTACCCAAGTACCCATATACCTATTACGAGACGCAATTAAATTTGAATGGAGAAAATATTACCAATCGTAAAAAAATATTCAACAATCCATTAAAGTTTGACTCATTATTCTAATTTGCTGCATATTTGCCAATGCTAATTACATTCACTGGAATTACTTTTTTTCAAGTCTATATGATCATTGTATTTGTTTATAGCTGTGATTGTTTTTCTATTCCAACATTGTGAACAAAACACCTTCCAGTATAGGTACCCAGCAAACGATTATCATAATATCTCGACGTTGATGACAATTAAGTGATGTTTCATCGATTCCTGTATCCATCATCATGAGCGATTATCGTGAATTGGGGGAGACCACTGATTTTTTTAAACGACATTATCGTGAGCTGTATACTGGAAAACTGCCAGTGAATTAATTTTGAATTTTTTCATTCATGCTAAGACGATGATATGTCCAGTTCAAAACACACTTTTCCTGCGCCATTCGAAATTTTGTCAATTCAACAACACGCCTATCGTCCTTGAACTGACCAATCACACTGCAACACTGCAGAATGACGAGGTATCAGAGAGAGATAGCTATAGTTCCGGAATAATACGTCACGGCTCTACTTGTGGCTCTACAATCATATTTGGCTTTTTGGAATATCGAATGAAATATGCTGATTTCAAAACGATATTGATTCGATTTCCTTCAACTTCAACTCATAATATTGATTGTACATAAAACGTAAAACATGATTCGTCGATTGGAATGGGTTTGCACAGATTTCTTCCCTCAGTGGTCTTCCCCAGCAATTATACCTATAGGGAAAGACCACCAATGGATGGAATCCGTTCAAACCTTTTTCAATTGATGAATCATAATTTACATCCAATGTAAAAATTGTACAATCAATATTAGGTATTAGTTGAAGGGGAAGGATATCGACTCTACCTTTCTGAACTCAGTATATTCCATATATTCCAAGAAGCCAGAAGGTGGAGCCGTGACGTATTAGTCCCAAATTGTAACGTTCTCTCTCTGATGATACCTTGCCATTCTGCAGTGTTGCAGAGTGTGATTGGTCAGCTCAAGGACAATAGGCGTGATGGGACTAATACGTCACACCAGTCACACCAATTAATTGATGCCATTTCAAATGGTGCAGGAAGTGTGTGTTTTGAAATAAACATATTTAATTTATTTTTTTAACTTATGAATGAAAAACATCCAAATCATATAAACTGGTAGTTTTTTGCCATAGAGCTCACATTGATGTCGTTTTGGAAAATCAGTGGAAAGTATCACCTAGAGGAGGTGAATGACGGGTATAATGGACGAGTGGGCTGGATAATGAATCATTGGCATTCAATTACTCCACTGTGTCGTTAGGGCCCTAAATCAATTTTCACAATACTTTTCACGCTTTTTTATGTAAATAATGAGTCTATGCGTTTTTCAAAATCGTTGAATAATTATCATTTTCTGTCGACCTCGTATTAACGACTGAGTTTAATGTATATGAAATCGTTCATTAATGACCCCTATTAATGGACGATTTGTCTATTAATGCACGATTGTTTTATAGGCAACCAAACATACACCGCGTGCATTCATTGTGTATGCTATGGATATAACTAGCGGAATCTGCATTTGAATCGAAAATATGGATTTCATCGACGATTTTCCGTTAACGGGTTTGCCTTTCCAAGTTTCTGACACGATTTTAATCCCTGTTTTCTAACACAAGGAATTTATTATTTCCTATGTTGATCATTTAGACAAATGTCGAATGACTCTAATATCAGTAACAAGGCTACTGGGTGATTCTTAGCAGTTTCCGGATGGATGATGAATTCGCGAACCAAGTTTTCTTCATTGCAGGAGAAATGAGAAATATAGTCGACGGAAAAATTGTGTAACCAACTTGTATATTAAAAGGCGATTAATGATCTCGAACATTAACGCACTCGCTTCGCTCGCACGTTAAAATATCTCGATCATTAATCGCCCTCATTAATACACTAGTTGGTTAAATAACTATTACACAAATGTATTATAAGCAATAAGCCACAACACATTTTGAGACAATTGATTTTTTTATTGTTAATTAGAAATATTACCAATGCATCATTCATAATTTATGAATCATTGAATAACTAATATTTTTGAAGTTCCCAATCGTATTTCAACATATGGCAACTGTGCTATGGTCTGCCCCTACTTGTGAGATCGTGACGTCAGTTTTTACTCACGGTAAATTTCTAGCCGTTTGAAAATTACAGTGGCATTATTGATGATTTTAGCATCTTGAAATCGACCGAAAAAATTCAAAAAGATATGAAATCGAAAGGTATTCGAGTGATGATTCTATTTAAGAAATAAAGAAAAATTAGTCAACTCATCGCATGTTCGTATTGACGTGAATACTAACATGTTACATTAACGTCACAAGTGAGCACACATTCAAAACAAAGGGATATTTTATTCACATCATCCGCGTCTTGGTTGAAGCTGATAATCCCATTTCATTGAGTTTAACAATGACGTAATTTCCGTTTGGGTACACCTCCCCTACCTGCCCATGGGTTTACTAACTTCATAGTTGTGGAAGTGGGTCAAGTGAAAGAAATAGGAATTCAAAAAAAGTTTTATGTTGGCGTCATCATCCCACCACCTTCACCTGAATAGACCAACCGGATTTAACGGAGGATGTGAATGAAATATCCCTATAAGTGAATAGATTATCGTGATTGAAAAGAATCCATTTCATGGACTGTGATGATTACGTCACGATGACGTCAAAAAATAACGTACAAAGTTAAATAAAAAAAGTCATCCGGTGTCCTGGGTAACATGTACCTAGGTTTTGCAAATCCATAAGGTTTCATATTGACTAATCCTTACTGAAATCTGCTGGATTATGGTAGATTGGGCAATGGAACCCACTAGCCGCCAAATAGTCTACAGTGTGCGTACTAGCTCCTTGATAGACGCACTTTCCATATGCCATCATATAAATGTGATCAAACGTTTCGTACATTTTGGCGTTCGGCTGATGTATAGTGCATATAATTGTTTTACCACTGCGAGCAAGTTTCTTCAATAATTGTATACACTGAGAACCGGCTGAGCAGTCCAGGCCGCTAAAACAAAACAAGAATTCAGATAAAACAGGGTTGGGCCCATTGAAGGGCCAATGCCGGGATCCACTCAACAATCAAAGGCTAGTTGGCAAATTGAGTTCGAAAAAGTTTTACAAAAAAAAACGTTACATGGGGAATAAATGAAGAATTTAAAGAATGCATAAAAAGTACAGATTTTCTACTTCGAAATAGGAATTTCCAACTTAAAAAACCAATTGAAAATGAATATTCTCAGATATATTTATGAACAAAATGAAAATGAATATATAATATTTGAAGAAATACATTGAGAATTCGCATTCTCGATGTGATGAAAATATTAATTCTTTATTCTCGGTTTATTCAACAGAGAAACAACTACTTCCTGCCACGACGAACATTGAATTGCATCTATTGAATACACAGGACAAGAATTTGAAAACAAAATCTTCGAAGTAGAGAATTCGCATTCTCCTTCAGATAAAGATATGCACATAATATCATTCTGAGTATTCAACAGAAAACAACTACTTTCCTGACTATTTGCCACGTCGAACACCGAAATATATCTGTTGAACATCCAAAAAGAGAGCATGAAAATTGAAAAACCTATAAAATTGAGAATTGACATTATCTCTCAAATCGAATAGAATAATATGATGTATAATGATATAAAAATATAACTTACCAATGTATTCAGTATTGAAATGAAAATCGAAATGTATAGTAGAAGTATACTCTGATCTTGATGAGCTTGGAACTTCAAAAAACAATCATTCGTTTCAGTAATATGGGGTTATATGACTTCACTAGAATAAATTCATTTCGGATATCAAACCCTCATCAGTAACCTGAAATCATACAAGTATACTATAATTTTCATTCAATACTGAACATATTGGTAAGTTATATTTCTATATCATAATACATCATATTATTTCTATACGATTTGAGAGATAATGTCAATTCTCAATTCCAGATGATTTTAAATCTTCATGCTCTCTTTGTGAATGTGCAACAGATATAATTCAATGTTCGACGTGGCAAATAGTCAGGAAAGTAGTTGTTTTCTGTTGAATATTCAGAATGATAATATGTGCATATCTTTGTATGAAGCAGAATGCAAATTCTCTAATTCAGAAAATTTTGTTTTCAAATTTTTATCGTGTGTGTTCAATAGATATAATTCAATGTTCGTCGTGGCATATAGCCAGGAAAGTAGTTGTATTTTGTTGAATAAACAGAGGGATAATTCAATATTTTCATCACATGGAGAATGCGAATTCTCAATATATTTCTTCGTATACATATATATCCATTTTTTTAAGTTCATAATTATATCTGAGAATATTGCTTTTCAATACTTTCACCCAATCAAGGGGTTCAAACTTGAACGATGAAAACTTGTTATTTCAATAGACCTCAATCGCAGATTCGTGATCAGGTTTTCTCAATCCAGAATTTTTTTCCACTCCTGTATGATGAATATCAATTTATCATACATCCAAAAAATTCAAAAACCAAATTTCGATGTTATAGTCGGAATTTCTGAATTCAAACAGGAAGGAAAATAACATTTCCAGTTCGAACTAGAGGAACTCCCAACTAATTCAAACTCAAACTTTCCGACGGATAAGTAGAGAATTTAAAGCTTGAAGTCGAAAAAAATCTGATTCTGAATTTTGAGTAAAAAAATGCAAGTTTCAATTCGGTAAATTAAATACCCTTTAATAGACTCCAGTATTCCTATTACTTCCAAAAATAAATGATTTTCCAAATTTTCTGACTTTTCTATTTTTTTATTTATTTTATGTCACTTTTTTACCAACTCAACGCCTCCTTTTTCATTTCCAAATTATATACAAGGTATATCAAACTAATTCATTAAAACAATCTACAACATTCTCCCCCCTAAATTCAGAATATTTCCCAAAATATCAACTGTTCTTGAAATTTGTAACAATCTCTTCGTCGCTTCTTTCTCTTCATTCTTCTTCTTTGTTAACTCGAGGTAACTTACAGATCTTTACCACTGGTCGTCTGAGTGTACCATTTTTCAATTTCACATCTGCTTCCCTCACATTTCCATCTTTTCCTGTGTACACTCTCTGAATTACTCCCAAAGGCCAATTATTTTTTTGCGTTGTATCATCAACGACAATAACTACATCTCCAACTTTGATGTTTTCAACTTTCCTGTCCCACTTGCCAACTTTATTCAGTGTAGGGTACTCTTTAAACCATCTTCTCCAGAATATGTTCGCTAGGGCTTGTGATAGTTTCCACTGATTTCTCAAATGATGGATTTGATCTTCTTGAAACTTCCCTGGTAGTGGTGCTGCTCCATCGGGGGAGCTTTCCGCACTTTTGCAACTAACATGGAAATAATGAACTCCGGACGGCCAAATGTTACTTCTAGTGTTTCTATGACTTTCGAAACATTAGATGATGAAATCAGAAGTGAATTCACAGCTTCTCTAGCTCTACCACGAAGGCACTTTTGTATACGTAACATGTTCTCTTCGTCACATATATTATAAATTCATGTGCTTCTCTTGAATTGTTCATAAAAAAGTGTCTATTCCTCAGGATTGCCTTCAAATATTGGTAGGCTCATATGCTTTCCAAGTCCTGGAATACGATTACTGTTGTCACAATTGCTTTTCATGATCTGGCAAATTTTGTCTATATGATCTGTCGTCATTTGAATAATCGGTTCTTTTGTACTTGAAGACGACGATTTTCCTGGATTTTTCTGTACTGCAATCGTTTGTCCATCGAGATAGTTCATCTCTCGAGAAGATATAACAGGATTCTCGATCGTATATGGAAGGACACTGATCAATCCATTGTGCCACATATGTTCCATCTGCTTGTCTTGGTGGTTGTTCATTTATTACAGATTGGTAACAAATATCTATCACACTCTGCCTGGAACAGTCTGTATGTCGACTACTGATTCGAGATCGTCGCTCGTCCTGATCTAGAATCTCAGCTTCACGATAGGCTTTTTCTAATTCGATTAATTTCAATTTCTCTTGCAAGGCTTCATTCAACAAAACCTGTTTGGCTTTTTCGGCTTCCAACGTTACTTTCATACGTTGAAGATCGACACTTGCCTTAGAAGTATTTGAACACTTAGTACGTGTAGAATGTCTAGATGATGTATTCGTCCTATTTGGAATAGAATGTCGGGAAACAGATCAGCTGTTGTCGCCCATGACTTGAGCTTCGGAGATGATTCTACCATCAGGGATGTCACCTTCTGGTTTTTCGGCATTGTCATCCAGATTATGTCTAGGTTCTCCAAAGTTCTTGGGCCACAAATAGTTCTCGTCAAGATTTCTATTTATTCCAGCTGTTTTTATTTTCCTGGAGGAGTCGGTCATAAGTCAACTTTTGTGCAGAGCATATTTTTACTTTAGAACTATATTTTTTGACGTTTGTAGAAAAAATTTTGTTTGCAACTCGAGCGCGAAATACTTTGGTCATCTCGACTATTTTTTTAACTTGGCTACGCCTCGTTGAGAAAATCAGATCTCGATCACCAAAGTAGCATTTCGCGCTCTAGATACAAAAAATAACTATTTTCATTATTGTTGTTGTTGTTCTTTATTACCCCAAGAAACATATTTGTTTATAATAGGGATACATAAACATATGATATATATATATATATATAAAACAATAAAAAAAAAACTAATTAACAAGTTATGTCAATATAACATAATAATTAAAATAAAACCATTCCAAGTATTCAAATGAGAATAAATTGCTCCGTTTATTGTGTCATGAGTATATATTTTTTCATATTGACTTTGAATCTTGTTTCATCATCAATATGTTTCAAATCATAAGGTAATGAATTATATAAAATGATTCCGTTGTAGAATACTGATTGTTTGCCAATGATGGAGTTATATGGGTTTGCTATTAATGAATTCAACTGTCTCGTTGCATGAGTATGAATTGTATTTACTTCAGTAAAGTTCAAGTTGGATATTTTTATTTTTTTTCTCACAAAATGGATGAAAGAACAAATTTTCATTTTATATAAAGATGATAAATTCAACAGATTTTTTGGTTTGTAAAGATTAATAGTTGGTTCCAGGTAATGTAAATTGTAAATGCACTTAATTGTTTTATTTTGTAATTTCATTAATGGTTTCAAATGTGATATACTTGTGCTTCCCCAAATTGATATTAAATATTGTAATTTTGAGTAAATCAGACAGAAATATATATTCTTCAAATATGTACTTATATGAAATCCCTTAAGCCGGTGTGATTTTGTCATTATGATAGCGAAAAAAGTTTGCCCTTCCTCCAGGAACAAAACCGAAACTTATCATCAGAAAGCGTGACAACCAAAATGTTAAACACTTTTTCATGGTGTTAATGTCATGTTTTATATAACTTGCGCTGTCAGAAAATTATCTAATTCGTGAAAACGTCGCGATTGGAAGAGATTGAAAAAAAAACATCTACAATTGAATAAATTCATTGAATTGTCTTACCTACGTGACCTCAAGCATTTTTTTACAGTCGAAGTAAAGTTGACATGAATATAATTCGATTTTTGGTGCCTCTCTCCAACTGAATTTGAAATCATTTTTATTTCCACCCCTATGACAAACCTAACCTTGAACAACGACAAAATTTCGCCTGCGGTGCTTTTCTACTTTTTGCCATCTACCACCCCCTCCCCCCGCATCACGAATTACCCACTCAGAAAAATAGTCGGTAGAGAATAACAAAATCTCAGTAAAATATGCGCCAGTCACAATATTCATCAAATTACCACAACAAAATTGTATCATAGTATTCTGTATTGGTAATATTTGATATAGTATGGTATTATACAATTTTGTAGTGGTATTACTTAGTAAATATACTAAACGTTTGGTATTTACTACTGACTATTTTTTTCAGTGTTCCCCCATGAAACAAAGCTGTATATACGCGCCTGTCATATGCTCGAAGTAGCATTGTCCTTTTACCAAACACCATGGACTTTTGACTACCCTAAAGTACTGTGTGCCGATAATACTTACGTTGTTGGTTCATCCAAAAACATGATTGGTGGATTATTCACCAGTTCCAAGGCTATTGATACTCGTTTCTTTTGTCCTCCAGATAAATGATGACATCGTGTATTCCGGCACGTGATCAAACTCAAATTGGTCAAAATATCGTTTATCTTCAAAAAAGGAATGAAGAAGGCATTATATTTTTGTCGAATGCGAATACCCGGTGTCAACGAATCTATAAGATTAGTCATTTACGAAATAGCCACAATGCTCAAAGTGGAATGAAATGTTGAATAAATACAAAAAGCTCACACAATGTTCACAAAATGAACAACAATGGTAGATTTTTGGAAAAAAAAACAACTACTTTCCTGGCTAATGCCACGCAAAACATGGAATTACATCCACGGAAAAAAGGATTTGTTGCATCAACAAATTATTTATGCTTGAGTTATTTTTGTTGGACTGTTTCAGTCAGAATTCTACACCACCCTGTATTTGTTTCAATTAAATACGAGTAAATAGTAAATCAAAAGTTAAGATATGGATATGTAAGCCGTTTTGACGAATAATGAATAGTTTCGACACAAAAAATTCCCAAAAATGAAAAATCTCGATTTTCCACACCCTATATCTCGAAAATCATTCCCGCTAGACCCCAAGTGTGCTAGATCGGTGAATTCAGCTCTTCAAGGAGAATATGAAAATACAATGAAATACAGGGTGTTCCATTTGAAAAAAATTATGTTCGATTTTGTGAGCCTTTCTTGCGCACCTCGTATAAAATATAGTCATTCCTGAAGTTAGCACTCATAATGCGATATGATGTGAAATTATAATATATATATATAATATAATATCCTATTGGTTCAGGAGATATTCAACTGTCCCACTGGTCTAGGGACACCCTGTATAGTTTCTCTTGAATCAACAAAATATTTCATTGAATTAACCAAATATTTCATTGAATCAACCAAATATTTCATTAAAACAACCAAATATTTCTTTGAATCAACCAAATATTTCGTTGAATCAACTAAATATTTGATTGAATCAATATCTTGTTATTTTGAATCAAAAAAAATGATTGAGCCAATTCAATATCTCTTCATAAACAATTCATGAATGTGCTTGATTGAAGAATATCCAGAGTTCATGAAAGTTATATTTACTTGATTCAAACTTCAAATTCGCTCTGAAACAAGATATAGATTTACTCATTTCAAGATTATATTTTGTCGTGCATATATGATATTTTTATTTGCTCCAGTCAATTAAATTTTGCTTGATTCAACAATTCCTCTTTTTTCGTGTCCTCTCGAAATCTATGCATCGACTCGTATAAACGAATACTGATACAAGTGATTTTTTCTTGAATGCCTATTGATTTCGATTTTGCCAGGTCACGCTAGACACCTACAGACTGATTTCGAGCTCTTTGACTGTCATCAGTGCAGGGCAGTCTCCAGTCCTAAGACCGTGCATATGCGAGCATATGAGAGCAACGCCATCTGAGTAGTATATTGAATCTTGATTGAGAAAGTGTTATCAAAACTGATTTAATAATTCAGTTGTGATCATTCATGAGATCTATAAAATATTTGTTGGAAACGTTATTCGAGAATTTGTCTCTATTTGAGTAACATACCCACAACAAATCTGCTCCGTTGAATACATTTCTGAATCATCTGTTTTCAAGTTTTTCATGGGCAGCCATGATATATATTATTTTGAAGTAATTTTCATTAAGTTTTTTTTGGATAACAAAACACGCACTTAGGTTATGACAGTGACTCAAACCTTATGAGCAGACAATAAAAGTTCCTTGATTTTATGCAATATCAATAGTAATTCTGAAAAAATGGATGATAGGCAAAAATACCAAAACCAGAGCCATTTCCAAGCGATAAAAAAATATGAAATATAAAATAAATACACGATATACCAAATGTCATTTTGATATACTTGATGTGCTAAATGTTATGACTTGTCGAATTGATTCGTTGACACCCGGTATATATCATCAGATTGATTAATTATCAAAATAATTCCGTATTTGAAAACTGTGGAGGAGTACACGCAAGTACAAAGGAGAAGAACAGAACAACTTCAATAATATTAATGAATATTGATTGCCTTCTTTAGTAGTACCATAAGTTAGGAACTGACTTATCTTCTTAACTTCTTGTATCAATTGTTACATAATACACTCGGTATTATGATAATACTAAGGTGATATTTATTGATTGAATGGTCAATCAAGTACTGTCGTAATTTTATAAAATATAATATTACAATATATATACAGTGAGGACGTAAAAAGTCCTCCCCCCCCTTTAACCTTTGAACGGAACAAGCTAGCGAGGTCGGGTAAAATCCAGGCAAAAAGGTACTTCTTTCACTACTATTTGGCATGAAAATGGTTGTGGTCACGTGACATAGTGTCAAGTGGGCACCGTCGACTTTCTTTATATATATAAAGAGGGGTCATGTGGTACCTTGTTTTGAAGGCCTTTCGATTCTCTATCCAACTCTGCATTGTGTGTGGAAATCAGTCAAGCCGTTTCAAAATGACAAGCGTTTGAAATGTACCTGGGAAACAGTAAATCACGTTCGGATTGAATTCCAAAACCGATTTTTCAGTGTCAATAAGTGAACGATGAACATTTCGAGCATGTTTGAGCACTTGTTACAATTCCTACTTGAAATCATGTTGCAATTAAAATTTATTCAGATTTTTTATGCATTAATATTAATATTTGAAGCAAATTTCAAACGCTTGTCATTTTGAAACGGCTTGGCCGATTTGTACAAACGAAGCGGTGTTGGATAGAGAATCTAAAGGCCTTCAAAACGAGGTACCACGTGACCCCTCTTTGAATTTGAAAAAAAAAAGTTGATGGTGCCCACTTGATACTAGGTCACGTGACCACAACCATTTTCATGCCGAATAGTAGTAAAAGAGGTACCTTTTTGCCTGAATTTTACCCGACCTCGCTAGCTTGTTCCGTTCAAAGGTAAAAGGGGGGGAGGACTTTTTACGTCCTCACTGTATACTATAATATAATATAATATACTCTATATGTTCATTAATTGAAGTAAATAAATAACATATATTCTGAACATATAACATGGTGGCAGCTAGACGAGTATAGAACCCAACGAGAGAAAATGGCACATCTTCAAGCACCAAAAGAATTCATACCCGGGACAGATCCAGCTTCAGCGTGGACGAAATGGAAACAGAAAGAAGAATTATTTTGGATTGCCTCAGAAATAGATAAAGCTCTGGTAGCAAAACAAAGAGCTACATTCCTCCACATTCTTGGTGATTATGGATTAGATGTGTACAACACACTTACATTCACAGAAAGGAATGATCAATTGACTGTCAGAGTCATATTGAAAAAGCTGTCTGAATATTTTGAACCATATAAAAATGAAACATATCTACGGTTCCTTTTCTTCACGTGCAATCAGAATGAGAGTCAGATAATGGACCTCCATTCGATTCGGAAGATTTCCAAGAATTTTCGAAAAGCATGGATATCACCCATGTTACATCAAGTCCACACTATAGTCAATCGAATGGTATGATAGAGCGCCACATCCAAACGTTGAAATCTATGATGAATAAGTCCCCAAATAAGAATCCTAACATCATTGTGATGGAATACAACAGCACGCCTAAGCAGCAATTACCTTCTCCAGCAGAGATGTTAATGGGAAGAAGAATCAGAACGCAATTGTTGTTTACTAGAAATCAAATGAAGCCTTTGTTCGATAATGAAGAAAAAACAAAACTTAGTCACTGCAAATTATAACAAGAACAAAAAACCCTTACAACCTTTGAAGGGACCAGTTTTAATGCAACAATCTTCAAGAAATTGGATTCCTGGCATGATCTTGAGTGACTGTAACGAACCGGAGAGCTATGTTGTTCAAACAGAAGGCGGGGGAGTGTATCGGCGAAACAGAATACATTTACGCCCTGGACAAGAAATCCGTCAAGAAGAAGGAAGGAGAGAGAAAAGGGAGAAAGTAGTCGAAGAAAGAGCATCAGAAGATAGAAGAGAAGATATTGGAGAAAGATGATTCCAAGCAGAAGAGTCTGCTACGAGGTCTGAGAATAATGTTCGATCAACTTTGAGGCGAATGATCAAACCACCTTCAAGATATCAAGATTATAATTGTTGATTTCATGTTATATTATCTTGAGGGGGCATGTTACATAATACACTCGGTATTATGATAATACTAAGGTGATATTTATTGATTGAATTGTCAATCAAGTACTGTCGTAATTTTATAAAATATAATATTACAACTCTCTATATGTTCATTAATTGAAGTTAATAAATAACATATATTCTGAACATATAACATCAATGATACAATGTTGTGACATATTGCTGCTACTCACCAAATATTCCTTAGCTTTCCTAGACAAACCGACTGTTTTGAGATTGCATGACATCATCATGGCTTCTTGAACTGTGAATAGCTCTGGTAGGCAATCATCTTGTAGTATGTAACAAGATTCTTTCTTGTACTGTAGAGAACCTGTCCCGTTTTCACTTGATATATTGCATCTTATCGTTCCTTGTACCCCTGAAATTCTATAAAAAATTAATGATAATAGTGGTAATTGTAAAAAACTTCAGGAATGATACAGCACAAGTAGCTAGTGAAAAACCTACTCGCCTTCAATTTGAGATATCAGTTTCTTTTCCTTTTCTTCGATTATCGAAAACGAATCGTTGAAAAAGACGATAATAATATAGAAGAACATCGGCATAATTAAAAACACAAGTCGTCCTTCCTTCGACTGGTGAAAAGTTATTGTTATCGCATAGATAACAATTAACAAGTTGTATTTTCGATAAATCAATGAGGTACATTATTTGTCGTAATTTCCATTCATTTATCTGATAACACTATGTGGCATTCGTGGGAAATGAATGTCTGGGACCAGAAACGATGACTTCGGATTCACTTAGATTGATCACTAGACAATGATCAGAAGCATTCTCAACAGGTACTTTCAGATCACTATGCAATCTAATGCAAAAATTCATGACGTCTGAGGAAAACATTTAGTATATTACTCTGTGCTGTTTGCATGCAGATGGGTATTATCAAGATTGAAGATATTTCACAAGGTGTGAAGTATAAATGAAAATAGCAAAGGGCTCAAAATTAAACCTCGAGGTACTTTAAAACTCAAATTCATATGTCTAGACCAGTCTAGGGTAGTTATCATCAGGAGTATCAGAACACAATATTGGTATATTTTCGAAATTGTTTTGTTTATATCTGTGATTCAGATAAGTCTGTTCACACAAAGATGAATGAATGTGGAATCGAAATGGGTCACTTAAGCTCAAATGACCACATTTACGTCTATTCAACGTTCATTCGACGTTGAATTGATGAAAAATACAGTACTTGATTAATTTTTCAACATTGTAAATTTGGTTAATGCAATAACTTCATACTATACAATACGTTTTGCATTATAGACTCATTCAACGTGAATATTTGATGTTTCGTTGTTGAATTGGTGAGGGAAACATGTTGAAAGACATAGTGAAGGAATGGCCACTTGTGATGAATCTCGTTCGACAGAATTTTTATGGTATGACCCAGAATCATTCAAATATTTCTGATTTTCACATGGTTTCATAGATACTATATTATGTGTCTGTAGATGGCCGTTGGAACCGAAACTAGTCACACTTGGTATTGTTTGTTTTTTCTTTGAGAAAAGTTGGACCGCTTTGAGGAGAATGTATGGTTTCCATGGCTCACTTTCATCAGACATAATTTTAATAGATTCTATTTCAATCAATTCTAGGTAGAGATTAAAATAGATAAATATTTCTCGATAAATGTTATGGCGAGAATATATTTTCTCACAATTAGGTATATTATTTTTCGATACAATATAACGATTAAATATTCTGTTGTATCAGCCAGGAAAGTAGTTGTTTTCTGATATTCAAACAATAGTTAATGTACATTTCTCAATTTTTTTTCAAATTAGGTATTTCCGATATCCGCAGATTTGATTCAATTTAATTAGCTATTTTCTGTTAGATATTGTTGCAAATTAGATGTTGACCCTCCTATAGGTCGTAACATAGGTACTCGCTTGGCTTTTTGACGAGAGGTTTTGATCATTTCACCACCCAACCACATTCATCCCCATATAAAGAGTCAAGACAGTTTTTATATAAAATTTGACATTTATTGATTGAATGGAAAAATTGTGGATAAATGCTTGCCACATGGCAGGTTAGCAGAGGAAAAGAACATAATGGCTTGCCAAATGAACGGAAAACAACACTTGACCAGCAGGATTGAAGTCGGGTAGACGGCGAATATTTTTTAATTGATAATTACTATAATGACTTGAATTAATAATAATGATGCCTTATCGACTCGGGTACTATTTATATTCGGAATCGATGCTAGGTTTGTAATTTTCCGCGATGAGTGGCCATTACCTTTCGATATTGCTTACTTAGGTGTTATCGCACGGTAAGCGGTTTTTCAAATTCTACAGGAACAGACGTTTATGAACTCCGCTGAGCTGATCGAAACTGCACTGTACTGGATGTTTCAATTTGGAAAAATTAATTTATAATTGAAGATCTTGAAATGAACGCGAGTTTGAGTGATGTTATTCCATAGGCATTTGTACTTCTTGACAATATTTGAACAATGTTTTTTCAATTTCTCAAACACAAAATACATACATACATATCTATATTTAGTTTTTCATGAAACTGTTTCAATAATCGTAGTTACTTTGATATTTTTCTTATATTCTCCTCTTTTCTCTCTCATGATTTCAAACATCATACAGTGCTTTTCTTCAATGTCCCCTGCCTATTATTTTCTGAACGGGCCAACGAAAAAAAATGTAACTAGAGGTAATGAAATTGATGCATGAATACTATATTTTCGAGTAAAATTGACAGAAGAAAACTTCAAGATGGCGACTGGGCGCCATCTGGGGAAAAAAATTGAATGGAAAAGGGGTCTTGTGATATATTTTCTTGAAGCTTCTGATGAATACTTCACAACCCTAGAATATGAAGTCAATATCTTCAACTACTACAAAATGGTGGAGCATTTATATCAATATGGATATTGTACTCCAACAAGATGGAAAACCATACCCCTTCACTCCAGACAAAATTGAAACATTTGTATAATACTTTCCCTGGTCGTTGGATTGGACGTCGAGGTCCTACGGAATGGCCATGTCGTTCATCAGATTTGACACCTCCCAAACAACACAAGTACATCCTAGGACATCCCAGGGATATCCTTTGTCGGGACGAAGTACATACTAGGGACGTCCCAGGGACATCCGCTGGCCGAAAAAAAAGACATCCCAAAGGATATCCTTCTGGTACGTCTCTGCGATGTACCAAGTACGAAGAAAGGATATCCCTAGGACGTTCCAAGTATATTTCAAGGACATCCCTTCGACACAAGAAAAAAAAAGTGGGTCGATTCAACCCGGGACCTTCAGCTTTTCAGACACGCACCTTATTACTTTATTGGCTAATATGCCTTCTGAAGATTTATGTACTAAACATATCAATATAGAGGACTAAACTACAGAAGCCTGAATAAATACAACTTTGTTAGGATTTCAGTGAAATTATTTTCATTCTTGAAAAAATGGTAATTTCTCAAGAAGTTCTGATACTATATTCTTTATTTTTATTACAATAATTTTCCGGAAGAAAAACAAACATTTTCAAAAAATTGAACTCAATATTTTGATGAAATTCAATGACTCTAATGTGAATGGATATCAGATTTTCCAGGGACACTAATAGGATAACCTAGGGATGCACCGGGCGGGATGTCCACTGGACAACCACTGCGAGACATCCCCTGGATGCTTCATTCATTTGTACCGCGGAACAAAAAAGGGACGTACCTATAGGGCATTCCTGTGTTGTTAGGGCTTTATACCTTTCTTTATAGGGCTATTTGAAGTAAAATGGGTACGGAACTGCATCTGCTTCAACATTGGATATACGACAGGGAATGATAAATATTTGTAGAAATATCGACGTAACTGTGTTCGAAAGTGTTCGGCATGAAATATCGGATAGGCTGTTCCTATGTCAAGAAGTTCAAGGCAACCATTTCGAGCATCTTCTGAACTGAACTCGGCTAATTTCCTCAAATTATGAAGTTGAACGTCGATGTATTCAGGCATTTATTAGATGCTCCGCCATTTTGTAGTTGGTAAAGATAATGACTTTATATTCTATGGTTGTGAAGTATTCGTCAGGAGCTTCAAGAAGATGATTGTATCAAAAGACCCCCATTCCATTTATTTTTTCATCACCCCAAGTTTCAATTTTTTTCGTTGACCAGTTCAAAAAATAAAGGGGGGGTCATTAAAGAAAAGCACTATGTGAGCATCGATTCATTTTCGTCATCAAAGACATCAATACATATTGCAGGTAATCAACCATCAACTCACCGACTTATTAAACCCATTTTTTATTGATCGTAAATTTTTTCTTCGACCCTATTGTTGATGAAGCAGTCAGTCACTCATTTTCGAATGCATTATTTTCGTTTGTGACCTTGAAATACGTTTTTATGTTGTCCAACCCGGTTTTATCACCATTATTGCATTTATCATCCGCAGGATCAGAGATCACTCAAATTAAAATGAACTGGGCAATGAACCGCGAATTCAAATCCCAAATGTGAAAAACATTCACGTACCTACAGTTTTTTATAAATGACCTTTCAGGTTGCAATTAGAGAGTTGAAAAACAGTCTGCAACGATATAAATGATCCTATCGAAAGTGTCATGATCAGGAAGGTTATTATTGCTCTCGCATGCAGCGTTTTGATTGATGACACTGAATTTCAATAATATTTTGACGCGATGAAGTTGAAATAAACTTCTGATCGCATGCAACCAGCATATTTTTGCACTGAATTCGAGATTGAATATTTTTGCAATGATTTCGAATAGAATTAGAATTTTATTCTTGGATGTATGACAAATTGATATTCATTATACAGGACTTGGAAAGAAATTCTGAATTGAGAAAACAAATTTCCATCGTTCAAGTTTGAACCCCTTGATTGGGTGAAAGTATTGAAAAGACAGAATTATGGACATAAAAAAATGGATGTACAGGGTGTATCTGAATAACGCCAGAAAAATTCAAGGGGTGATTCTTTGTGATATTTTAGCAAATAATGTGTATATAAACATGTGTCCTAACTTTCTCCGTTTTTGAGATACAGGATGTTGAAGTTGAAGTATTAATTATTTTTATTTATAACCCCCCTGTATAAGCTTTTATGGTGCCAAAATTCAGTATGGTTGGAGACTGAGAAAGACTCAAAATGACTTCAATTGGGGATATTGAGTTATTTCAATAGAAGTCTTGAAAACTATACATTGAATTTGGAGTCAAATCGAATTTTCATTGTTTCCTCAAAAACTAATGAGCTATAGATACTATCTAAGTAGCGGCTGGACTTTATTACAAGCTAATATCAAACCTATCCTAACAAAATTATAGGATTAGAAGTTAAGGTAAACTTAAACCAATAATA